TCACTTCGCAGAAAAAATTAATAAATGTTCCGTATATACTCAAATGTTCGTCCTCGGCACCTTATGCCAACATTGTCAAAATGACAGATTAATGTTACATAAGAACATGAAATTTTATAAAATTCGTAATTTTGAATTGCTATAACTTTTCATTTTCTTGGTCAATTTTCACAAATCAAATTGCAGTTTATAGAAGCATTTAACAAGCTCGCGGTAAAAAAAAATCAAATGTAACAGACATTGCGAAGTACCCAAAATTAATAAAATAAAAACTAACACCATAAAACGAATGGCACGCATAGACTAATAATTGACGGCTGTACTCGCAACTAGTATCGGTTTGTCGATGCCACAGTAAAGATCAAAGGACTGTACGCACGCGCTATGTTCGAGAGCGGAGATGTGCGTCCTTTTGTTGAATTACCTTGTTTACACTGCGTAGCTTCGCATTCCGAACCTATTTTATTTGACCGACCGTTTATGGAAACCAGACATTTTATTTAAAAACAATTCCGTAAAGTGTTTTCTGATAACTGACGACTAGAATTGGCTTGCCTCATGAAGGTTTAATTGAGGCCCTGAGCCTACACCAGGTGATTTATATTAACCACAAAGAGCAACCGTTAGTATGTATAATTTGTGTTAGCATGGAGGTAAAATTACATCCATGATGATTTTAGCATATTTTTTTTTAAATTATAATAATAAGTTTGTCTCAGGGGTAGGCATTCCTACAAATCTCATCTTTCGCTCTGGTTCCAAGTCCTTCAATTCTAAAGAAGTTTTTGTATATTTGAAGACAAAAACAATGTAATACGCTGGCGTGTGTTTAGGAGACGAGTGCGCGGATGTGAGTTGGATGACCTAGGCCTTTATATTAAAGCCGTCAGAATCCCTTATTAAAGACTGGGTAGGCGGAAAATCTACACATTTCAAATTAGTTTGTTCATCTTCGATTAGCTAAGTAAATGTGTGCAGTTTATTATATTTTCAAATAAGGTTTCTGCTCATGGAAATAAATACCTCAAGTGTATTTGTTAGTAATACCACAACATTCTGGATAAAAACTAACTTAATCTTGTATTTAAACTAGGCTATGTTTGCGTATTATTAATAGTTTCCAAATACCTTTGAATTGTATGTACTTGTGAATCGGGCGCAGAAATTTCCGTTTTGAAAGAGATCTAAGTGCGTTTAAAATGCAGGACTCAAAAGTAACTAGAGTTACATACACATATAATACCACACCTTCCTTAATAAAAACTACAAAATCATGCATATAATTTTTGCCACAAGTTGAACAATCGTATCATAATTATAATTCAGTATAACATCAAGGCCCGAGTTATGTTTGACTATAAGATCATAAAAATTATGAATGACTCACCAAATAACAGAAAAGTGATACTGAAAACACCAATAAGCCAACGCATAGTGGATCAGTCTTGTGCAGGCAATAATTCTTGAAGTATTACAAAAGACCTACTAGTCCTAGATCACCAGTGTGAGTGGTAGAGTTAGCCGACAGTCACCAAGTTTAAGGTGCTATATGTAAGCAGGTGGGGATGACAGACAGTTCACCCTTCCTAAATTAGTAAAAATGCCTTGCTGCATTAACCTGTAAATGATAAGCATGATGCTATTTTTTCTTCTTATGAATCATTGCTGAAGATCTTGTCCCTGGTTGGTTAAAAGCTAAGTGGACGTCATGTACTTTTACTATTGTTCAATTGAAGGCCTTTCAAAAGATACGTGACAGAAATTCCAACAGCTTGCTCGTAATGTTTCGGATGTGATTAATTTAAGAGTGGAAATTGATTTGAAAATTTTACCCAGATACAGACAGTCTAAAAATCGCACTTCCCGCCTTTACGTTACGCGTTGTTGTCATTGAAGCACAGATGATTTACTGATGATTGTATTACTGAATTTTATTGCACATTTCAAATTTTTCATTTGCAAAATAACATTAAAAATAACATAATAATTTTACAGTTTGGTGCTATTATTAGAATAAACACGTATTTATTTAATTTTTAAATAAAGAACGTTGATAAATTTGCAGCAACATTTTTTTAACGTATTTATCTAACATAAGCACAACGTTCACAACTTTCGCGAATGGGATTTCTTGAAATTACTCTTCCCTTTCATAATGGTAAGATCAAAAGTGACTCAGATTTCCTCTAATGGACCTCATATGTGGTTGTAAGAAACTATGAATATTCAACTACCATTACAGCAACTCACCAGAGACAATTCCCATCAACAAAAAATTGTTATGACGAAAATAAGATCGTGCAGCACTCTAATCATCCGTTTTTATTTTCAAATCATATAGATATTTACCTATAAGTATTAGATGTAGTCCTTACAATAACAACCCAGAAGGTGAATTACGTCTATTAAACCTGTCTCACCTACTGGGGTGTAGGCTATACTATGGTGTGAAATAATATAACAAATACAATTGCTTCCATAATGATCTCGACAATTTTTATCAGAGCATTGCCACGGTGGCAGCACTTTACGTTCAATATATTATTATATGGAAAAACAATGGAAATAGAAAGAGACTAGACTTAGGCCTACTATGCCTGTTTGTAAAACAGAACATAAGTTTTTTCTCATTTTTATAATGAGAAGTATGTTGACATTTTTTTTTAAATAAATAAATAAAAAGTCTAGCGTAAAATAAAACACGAAACTTGACAAACTATTATAGAAAGTTTTATTTAGACCCATCGATAGGTTTTTAGATCACATTTACACCCTAAATTGGATCGTCACCAACACATAATATTTTTTTCCTTGTAACTTGCAATGGTTAAACTTTCCCGAAAGTTTCAGTTAGATCAGTAGAATTTTGAAATATTTGGTCTGGGACGTTTTCCTTTGAATGGTCCTCATATCCACACCCTACTCCAGATCGTTACAAAAGTTTAATAATTTCTTTACTAGACCTTGACACACTAATAGAGGGAGTTTTACTGAAACGTGAGGTAACGAGCTGAGGATTACGTAAATTTTCGCCTTGCTACAATTTACAATTTAAAGTGATTTTTTTTTTAATTTATTTGTTTTGGCAAATTTATTGGAGGCAGTTATCCTACCATCACAGGCTCCACAACTATTGATTCAAACATTGCTTTTTTAATATATGAGGCTGATGGATCAAAATTACCGTACTATGATCTATCACAATGTATGAGCATTTCATTACAGAACCTGCTTAGTCGTATCCGTGGATAAGGGTGAATAAAGACTGTCCTGCCAAAATCTGTGAATGTGACCGTACAGTGGCACTTTGCTTCTCCAGAATGTCCGTAAACGAAGCTTACAAAAACTACGACAGATCCAACTGCAGCAGCGTTACCGTACCTAATTGAAGTTACCGCATCGTCGTTGTAGGCATACCTCATGTGATAGAGATGCCAGGCTCTGGAGAGATTTTTTTTTCATATGTTGTATCTGATTTTTGTAAGACACAAAAAGTTTGTTTGACGTAAAATTCGTAACCACCCTATTTTCCACATTTTTACCATTTTTTTTAAATATTCAAAAAATTGCCTCTCATTAACCGTTCTCGAGTGGTTTTTTTTTTTCAAATTTATTGTGTCTTAGATTATTTAGTTTTACGACATACCTTATAATGTCGAATTTTCCCCTTCTGAGTCTGGCTTTAAGATGTCTTTAACAAACTTTGCATAAGATCATTATCAAACATTCTATTTAAACATTGTTGAAAGACCAATTTTTCTACTATTTTTTTTTTTTTGTCGAATCATTTCAGTTTCATTTATTTATTTACTTAGGCCCTACTTAATTAAGTTAGTTTTCCGGTCGCAGTACAATCGAACGAAGCAAATTAAACATAGGTCTATAATATCTATAAATTTGGCCTAAAAATATTTTCTCATTCAATTGACAAAGCTAAAACCTTAAGTATAAAATGCAAGCAAATCAAATCAAATTGTATTGTTTGTTAGCTCGACACAAATTGAATGGCCGTATTCGACTGATTCGTTTTGTTGCGATAAGTTATCTACGTTACCAAAACAAACAGGCCGATTGGTCAGATTAGCATTAGCAAACACTTGCGTTAACACTTGAAATAACTTCAAAAAATAATCATTATAAGCCTAATATTTTCCCACATAAATTTAAAAAACAATTAGGCCTATAGGCTAACACTAAAAAAAAATTACATGAACAGTTTTGCTTACGAAAAAAAAAAACACCGCGAAAATGGATACGAAACGACCAGTCGAATACGGGCAATGTCGTCAAGCAGCGTTATCGAGCGTTCGTTTTTTTCAGTTTCAAGAACATTAGGAATACTTCCAGTGAGCTCAGTATGTGTCACATGGGTGTCATATCAAAGTACCGAAGTAATATTAATAATGTGAAGCGAAACCTGGCAGATACGCTAAGACTATGCGTTGTTATTATTACTTAAGAAAATGATGAATAAAATGGATGAGAGGAAGAATAATGGCATAAATAGTAATGATAAGACTGTGGTACATGACTGTAGCAATTAGAATTTGAATTAAAACGAAAATATTATATTTTTATTTTAGAATCGTGCGGATATTTGCCGATAATTATTATATATACCAATGTTCAAAAATAATAAATATCATTAGAGGCCTATCACTGCTTTCATAATTGAATAAATTTGTATGCCTATATTAATTTTATCAAAGCATTGACACTGTCATAAATCAAAATGATGTCGAAAGACTGTCTTAAAATTATTATCTGCACAGATCAATCTTATCAAGAAATTGATACTAATATGGAAGCATTTGGTGTATGACATGGGTAATGGGGTTAGCAACCTATATAACCAGATTAGTACACGCCAAAGACCTTCGAACCTTCGATCCTTAGACTTACAATATTACAGCGACAATACAAAGCACAGTAATATAGTAAAACCGAAGGCGTTACACCAGCACAATAACCTACAGTTAGGCATGAACGGATAAACTGTAGTTTATAAACGAAGCTATCTTTTTAACTGTAAGTAGGCCTAGACTTTACGTTGCTGAAAATCTATCATGCAGATGATCATCATATTTCTCCTGATATTGATATGTGGAGTTTCAGCGAATACAATTCCAGGTTAGTTTTTCTTTGATTATTGAACGGAATCATTTATTTATAATTCTTTGCTTATAACTGAAAATAGTGGACATCATCACTGCTAGCTAATTAATCTTTACAGACATCCTCATTGATACAGTCCCTCATCTTTAAGAGGAAGAAGTGGGTCTACACCAGCAGATACAGTGTCACTTATGGCATTTTGAACAATCGTGTTTTAGAGTGACGTGAATAAGTAACATTTTACCTTGGCTGTTGTTTTGTTTTATAGCTGTCTGTAACACTAGAGTGAGAAACATGGCATCTACTCAAAGCTCTTGTACCCACATGCTATCACCACTTGCTGGGGGAAAACTCATTTATGCCCATATTAAATTAAATATCCAATATAAACAAATTCTTTTTTCTAATTTAAGTGTGTAATAACTAATCAATAATTTTATTCTGAGAGAGGTAATAGAGGTTGTCTACACCATAATGCTTCAATTTTTGGTAAGTTGGCCAATAAATGACAAACAACTTACTTTAAATTTATGTATAGGCTAATGACTTATAC